CCCCCCCCAGCTGTCCAGGGAGCACTGAAGAGTGTGATGGGTGTTCATGCCAGCTATTTATAACCGTGCTAAAGCTACCCCAGCTAGAGAAGAGGCCAGAGATATGACAACAGCCGCTCACCGGAGCCTGCACAGGGTTCTGCTCTTCCTCCAGCTCCTGCTGTTTTGCCAGTGGTCGTGCCCTGGCAGCCATAGGCCAAGCAGTCACTTCCAGGGCCCTCTCCCTTTGCCCTGCTTGCACATTTTGTAGGATCCCTTTGGGTGCTGCCAGAGCCAGCAGATCTAGGGCGGCTGTTTAAAATAACACATTGGCACAGAAAAACGGGGGAAACTGAGAAAACAAGGTCTTCCTGTGCAGTGCACGGGGGACAGTACCTAACCTCTGCAAATGCCTCACTCTGACACCGACTTTGCAGCCAAAACACCTTTTCCAAAGGGAGCCCATTCTCAGCTGCCCTGCGCCAGGGGCCTACTGCTGGAAATCAGTCCCCGGAGCTTTCCCAGTAGGGACTGGCGCCCGCGGTGCTGGCAGACCATCCGTGTTCAAGCAGGATCGGTTCAGCCGGGGACAGGGGCAGGCAGGCTGCCAGGGGAGCCAGGGGATGGGGAAGGTGTCTCGCAAGGGGAGACTAGTTGGGTCTTGCAGAAGGCAGGCTCGGAGGCTATCTGAGCCTGCTCTATAAATACACCAGGCGGGTAAACACTTGGGAGGAGAAAAAAACCCAACTATGTCAGCTAATGGGCACTGCTGCCACAAGGTATAAATCGGTCAGGAGTAAAATTAGGCTGGAGAGGAGAAGGCAGATAGATCGGTGCTGCTGCCTGCGAGGCTCCGGCTGCCGGTGCTGCCCTTTCAGCTGGGCCTTGGTGCAAACAGGGCTGGACTTGCAGCAGAGGCCCCGTGGCTTGGCCCGGCTGGGGCAGGGATATGTCCCTGCGGTGGCATGCTGCGGGCCAGCCTGGCATGCTGCCGGAGGAGCCCCTGGGCTCCAGGGCTCCTTGTTCTAGAAAGTCCCGTCAGAGCCAGTCACCCACCATCCGTGACGCTTGTCCTTGCTGTGCCCTTCTGGGAAATAACCACCCTCTGGAGGGGCAGAAGTCAGCATTCCTGTCCCAGGCTTTCATCCGGGAAGCTGGGAAGGATTCTGTATTTACCACTGCTGCTAATGAGGGTGCTTGGGTGTCATGCAGTTATCCTGGCCATTTCCACAGCACAGGTCTGAGCTTCCTCCCATTAAAGCCACCTGCACTTTCCCCCTTCCAAGAAGCAAAAAAATACCCTCACCACATCCACATGGTGGCAAACAAGAACCTGATTCATCCTTAAATAATTTGTGTACATTCCTTTTCTCTTCTTTCCTGAGCAGCCTTTGCATATATATGAAGAAAGCTCTTAAGCGGCACTGCAGTCAAACCTGATCTGCTTTTAGAAGATAGGTCCTTAAATTACCCTCTCCCTCTCTGCAGGCAGGGAATTGCTAGATATTCTGGTGCAAACCCATGGTGGCAGTGGTGTCACACACGCGTTTGGCTGCATCTGCTCGAGCCCCGCTGCGCTGGGCAGGGACAAACCGCACAGCCTTGAGCCGGCTGCAGTGGGAGGGCAGGGAGTGGCGGGCAGGTGAGCAGCAGGGCTGCCGGGGGATTTGCTACCTGGGAGTTTGGGGCTTGGAAACTTGGATTGGGCAACCTGGGGATGATGACATGGCAGTCTGCATGGCTCAAGCAGGCGGTAGCCCTGGTGTGATACCCTCATGCCCGAGCAAGGACGCAGAGTGGGTCTGGACATCACGGCCAGCTTCACCCGAGAGTCCAGGTCACCAGGCAGGTCCGGGTGACAAGGCAGGGCCAAGGTCAAGCTGGGACATCAGCCTGCAGTGTCCCCCTGCTCCTGGGGCTGCTGTCTGGCATCGGAGGAGCGAGCACCCACCTCGTTCCTGCAAAAAAGCTGGAGAAAGCAGCAATTTGGGCCTGTCAGGCCTCTGCTGAAGCCCTACAGAAAAACCTCCTTCCTTGCAGCTTTTCTGGCTTGGCCAGGCAGGGCTGAGCTACGGCAGCAGGGACAGCACTGGCCTGGCACAGGGACATGCCCCTGCACTTGCCAGCCGCAGGGTGCTGTGTGCCCCGGGTTGCTCCTCGCCCTTTAAGGGCCGGCAGCAGCTGATGGCCACGTGTGTGCTGCTTTGGCACGCTGTCCATGCCCTCTGCGCGGTGGGCACGGGGACGACCGGCACGCCAGCTCGGGTGGCTGTGCCCTGTTGGGCGGCTGTGCCCCGCGCTGCTGGCGGCCGGCACAGGATGAACGAACGCCTGGCGGGTGCGGCGTGGGGTGCGTGGCACCATGCAGGCAGCAGGTGAGGGGCTGCCCACTGCCGTGCCCCGCTGGGGCCTCGGGGACTCCCCAGGATGCAGGATGGACTCTTCTCCTCCCCCCAGTAAGAGCTCATCTCTCTGCTTTCCCTCCAGGTTTCAAGTGCCCCATTTGCTCCAAATCTGTGGCTTCTGATGAGATGGAAATGCACTTTATCATGTGTCTGAGCAAACCTCGCCTCTCCTACAACGGTAAGGGCTGTGCGTGGGGACACGGCGTCCTGCTTGGGGCGGCTCCGGGCAGGCTGGGGAGAGGCTTGCCGCAGGCTGCGCGGGCAGGCGGCTCGGCTGGGCTTGCCAAGAGGGCTATGCTCCGGCGGTGCAGCTCACGGTCCCTGCTCCACTCCCCCAGCACAGCTGAAACCCGCTGCTCTGCCTTTGGGACCCTTTATAACACAGCCTCCTCCCCGTGTTGTTCACCGTGGTGTGCCGCACCGGAGGGAGCTGGGTGTCCTGCCTGCCTAGGGCAGGGGACATGCCCTCCTGGGCTGCCCCTCTGAGGCGTTCCTGACCTCCTCCTCCTGCGAGGCTTGCAGGGCTGAGCACTGGGCCGCAAGCTCCTGCATCTCCCATCCTCCCTCCTGACCCCTCCCAGGGGAGCGATGCTCACCCCCTACTCAGTGGTGGTGGTTTGGGAGCCAGGAGTAGGGGCGTGGGGGATGTTCACTGCAGCTTCCCCAGCCACATCTCCCCGCGGCGTGCCTCCACATGAGCCTCCTGCCAGCGTTTGCCGGCGCTGCTGCTGCTCAGCTGCCCCATCCCAGCCCATCTCCGCAGAGCAGGCCCTGGGCTCCCCCCACCCCAGTCCCGCGGCGGTGGCCCATGCCTCATGCTGCCTTCTGCTCCCCTCCCAGATGACGTGCTGACCAAGGATGCCGGCGAGTGTGTGATCTGCCTGGAGGAGCTGCTGCAGGGGGACACGATAGCCAGGCTGCCCTGCCTCTGCATTTATCACAAAAGGTACCGTGCGGGTGCCAGGAGCGAGGGGACGCAGCCGGGCAGGTGGGGGGCACATGCGGGGCACCCCGCGGCTCAGCAGCACAGTGGTGATTCACTCTCCTCTCCGCAGCTGTATAGACTCATGGTTTGAAGTGAACAGATCTTGCCCGGAGCATCCTTCTGATTGACCCACCGGGCGTGCTTGCTGACTTCTCTCTAAGGTGAGCCTGCGGTGGGCAGTTCAAACCTCATTTTCCTCATGCTGGGATTAACTTGTGGGCCAGGAGAGAAGGGTGGGGTGGGATGGGGTGAGATGGGGTGGCTCCTGCTCCTCACCTGGGATCGCCTCTCTCTGCTGTTGCAGGGCACCTTGCTATACCTGCTGTACCTCCTCTCCCTGTCCCCCCCACCCCACCTGGAGTTTTGGACTGACTTTAAATTCCTCGAGAAGACAAAAATAAAACCCAGAAACTTGAATTCACTTGGGACAACGGCGAATTTTTTTTATTTTTATTTTGTTTTTATTTGTTTTGTTGTTTTGAGGGTTTTTTTGGGTTTTTTTTTTTAATTTAAAATATTTTAAAGAAACATCCAGGAGAAGACAGTGTGAGAAAAGCGGAGCGACCCGCTCTCCCCTCCACAGCCGCTGGTCACCAGGAGAGCTCTGCCTGCCAGGGAGGCCCCAGGGACACCCTCGGCCGAAACCCTGCCATGATGTTTGGCTTTTCTCCCCAAAATGAAGGGGAAAGCTGCCGGGGGACAGCCGGCCAAACGGAGCATGCAGCATTTCTCACCGGCAACCCCCCCACTTCCCACCCGGACTCGCCCGGGGGCTCTGCTCGGTTTTTTTGCACTGACTAAACGGGAATTTTCTCCTCTCTCCCGTCTCCCTTTTGGAGATCTCCACCCCAGCCCCGGCAGCGCGAGACGGGGACTCTGACCCACGCCGGGAGCGGGGCCACTGCTCCCCCCTGCCGAGCTGCGGGGGTCCGTCTTTCAAGTGTTTACAACGAGAAAAAAAAAAAAAA